GTATGTTTAGTTTGAGACCACTTTACTTAAACCTACAATATATTATTTTAAGAACACACATCAGTTTGTTTAACTTTACATAAATATTATTTTGTAACAAATATTATTGTGTCGTGTATCTTTTGGTAGTTTGATTACTTTTGTTAATAATAGTTGTTTTGTTGACAAAACCAAAACAAAAATCTGTCTTCACGCTAAGTCGAAATCAATATTTATTTATAAATCACTTATAAAAAAAAAATTATAACATTTTTATTAAAATATATTGGATCCATAAATAATACGAGTTTTTTCACACAATCAATGCCAATTAGGTTATCAAAATCGGCATTTATAGAATGGACGCGGAAGATTTTGCATTTTGCCCATTGATTAAAATGAAAACAAACAATTTTAAAACGTGTTTAGGTTAGAAATGTACACAATATGGAGGGTGCCGCCACGTGACCGCAGGACCCATGAAAAATCGGAAATTGGAATGAAAGATGACGTCATCGCCATCAAATTAGACTTTTCGTGCGAAAACCTTGGATTGTCTACTCCTACCTTCCCTCCGATTAGCCTTAATTTGGTTCCGATATATAAAATACAAAGTGCCACTGTTGAACCAAGCACAGCAATATGGTGATCGAGCCAATTTACTGCTGCGCTTTTAACTAAAATTGATTTGTTTTAGGCTCAATTAGAGGTCTTTGTTTTGCTGTTCGTTTTAATGAGCATCGTTTGTGACGAGAAAGGCCCCGTTTGTGCATATCCAACAACCGAGGAAGGAGCAATCGATGTCGGAGCTCCTCCTGCTGAATCCGTGTCCAAACGAATTACGCGCAATACACAGAACACAATTCCACAAAATTATATGAATCCCGGAGGAGAACGAAGCCAAAGCCGCATAAAGAAAAGAGATTTGGGGAGAAGAAAGTTTCATCCTATTCCTGTGCTTTGCGGGTAACTTGCTTATCAATTGACCTTTTACAGAGCATGAATTTACACACATTCCACTGAAAACGACTGAAAACACAAAGGGAGTTTTTGCCAAAAATGGATTAAATTAATCATTTTATTATTTAAGTTTAATCATTGTTAACGAGGAGAGCAATTGTATCGTTAACCTAATTTGTTATTCAATAGGAATTGTGTAACACAATAAATGTAAATTTTCTCGTTTGGTAAACATTTTGATAGGTACACAAAATATATGCCAAACTCGTTAGTACAAGTTTCGTCTCTGATAATACTTTGCAAAACTTTGCAAACCTGTTGAATAAAAAACATTGTACACCAAATCTGGTATTTTGGTTGGCAACAGTGGCGTAGTCTTTTATTAAGAGAAGACAGATCTTTCTTTTATTTAAAAAAATAGAAATATACGTGTATCTACACAGCCATATATTTGACGACTAAAAAATGATTCTTTGCTTTGCTGACCACAAAAAGCCAACTTTTAACAGCAAAGAAAAATACAAAAATCGACTAACCTTTTTAATATTTTTCAATTTTTTCGAACAAATCATTAAATTTATTAATTTCAATTTGTGGGGCCGAATCTACATTTGTGGCTATATTTTATTTACACTGGAGATGTAATTTGCTACTCATACATAAATATGTTCTTGATTTTAAGTGTGTCTTTCTATTGCCCTTGGTATTTTTTTTAAGTTGTCATGGGACAGTCTTAGACCATGCTTCCTCACCACGACTGGACAATGGTCAAAAAATATTTTTTGGTATTTTTCTTCCAGTTAACCACTTGTATTTAATATACCAGGAATTTAAAAAACTATATTAATAATTAATTTTCCTATGATCCTAAGAGAAAGTAACTTTTTCGAGGAAAGTGACCAATTACCTTCCTCATCTGTCAAGCAAATTTTATTTTTTAAATAGTTATCGAGAAAATTTCTGATAAAGTCAAAAATATAAATTTGACTATAACTTCCAAACTGTTACGAATTTTGCAGTTTTCTGGACGCCAGTCGATTCCCCGGAACAACAACTCTTACACAAAATTTTTCAAACATTTATTTTTCGCATTTTTACAACGTTTTTGTGCTTTTCTAATTCTTTTGAACCCCCAAGAGTGCAACTAGACAATTTTGAAGTTTTAAATTTTTTCGATTTTTATCAAAATTTTGGTCGATTTTCGATACGCGGAGCGGTTTATTGTTAATAACTCCGGACTTATTGGAGATAACTTTATATATTTGATACCGTTGGAAAGAAAATTTAATTTTCTATCGTACATAAAAAAGATCAGTGTTCTACGATAAGTAGAAAAAATTATAAATTTCAGTATTTTAACAAAATAAATTTATATTTGTTTATCTATGTATTAATTTTACTTATTTTACCCTTAATAAAAAATATTTTATCAGT